AACATGTGAGCTGAGGTGTTGAACAGCAGACACGTAGTGTATTAACTCCCTCACAGATGGCGTTATGAGGGGCATCACATGGCGTAGTACTTCCCTCACAGATGGTGTTATGAGGGGCATCACGTGGTGTAGTAATTCCCTCACAGATGGTGCTATGAGGGACTTTACATGATGCTGCAGCAACTCATTCACTACGTGGTGTCGTAGCATCATGGGGACACCACGTGGTCAGTTGTCACAGGACTTCACTCACTCAAGTGGGTGAGGTGTGGTCCCAGGCTTCTCTATGGTGGAGTCTCAGGGGAATTATCACTGGGTACCTGGGACCTCACTGCGTGAAGGTTAGCTTGGGTAAGACTCAACTGCTCTCCTGCTCTGAGAGATCGATTAGCCACCAACAATTATCGACCTCTGTTGGATAACTTCTGGCCGATTTGCACAGGAAATGGAATATGCATGGAGATATCCTTGGCCAAAATGCATGTAGCACTGGAGTTACGGACAGGGAGGAATGCGGGTATTAATGTGTATTATCCCCTGTCTAACATACAATAATGGTTATATAAATGTGGGCTACATACATTATGTTTATACAATTACTACACCCACGGATTAGTTAAACTATGAGTAAGTGTCTAGGATGTATGTCATGTAATCTCATTGTCTTTCAAATGTCTGGCGCACTTCCTACTACCAGGGTCAGCACCGTGCCGATCTCTTCCGGTCTCTCTCACACACCTGACGTGTGTCTAAGAACCTCGACCCTTATAACACTCGTAGCTCATACATAGTGTTAATTACGGTGATATCCTAAGTTATTTGTGCAATAGTCTACTTCCTTAATAAAAAGAGAGACGACCCAAAAACATTTATTTGTGTTACTTCCAGTGTACCTCTAGAGCTGAACCGTCAGGACAATTCATCAGTAATTACAACAGGTAACCGGAAAATAACAAATGTAGTGACAGACAGGGACCAGCTGGACAGCAATGGGAAATAGACAGGGAGATGACAGAATACCAAACCATTTACACTCAAAATCTCCAGTAGAGATTTAAAATACCACAATAAATCAAATGTGTCTCTTTATGCTGTATGCCATGTTGTAAAATGTATAACAATTCTTCGTACTTCGAACCATAATATCAATCAGGAAAAGGGACGAGGTTTCCTTACCACAAGAGTGGGCGGAGCTTAAGGGCTGATATAGTTACAACTACATTAACAAATGTTTTATGGGGGCTTGAGACTCGTTTGAACGGCCGGTTCTTTTCTGGCCTGATTTCGACGCTCATCCCGTCCCTAGATTAATGATTTTGACTGTACCTATGTACAGTCGCGGTCAAAAGTAAGCATCTACTCCACCACCTAACCCCTGTGCCTTGATGAGTCCTTTCTGCACTGTAAGTCACGTTGGGTGGAGAGGAAGAATGGTCGACTATGGAAGTTACTCATCAGAAAGAGAAAGGATTGTAGAAAGCTGGGAAATTCATGAAAGAAGGAAGGGAAGGATGGATTAAATTTTATCACTATAATATCTTAGGTTTACATGTTTGAAAGAGCAATTGATGAGGACCCTTATTTTATGATTATTATAATGTGCTACATTTAATAACGTTGATATGAGGAGAAATATTGGATATAAGTTTTGGAAATCACATTTATTTTTAATATTTACCAACACAAGTCATACAGAATCTCAATATCCTGTCCACTGCCCTCTCCACTTGTCAATCGTGGTCTCATCGGCCTAAAAATATATAATTTATATGAATTAGGAGTTTAAATACGTTTTATTTACATCACACACCCAGCGGGTTAACCAACGTCCACAGTGGCCCCAACCTCCCTTTCAATTTCTGACATATAGCCAGCTGCGAGCAAACCGATTGCCCTCGACAAACCGATCTACCCTCATTAGCATCCATCCTGGGCTGGCTGTGGAGACAGTGGCTAAACACCATTGCTACTACAACCTCATCATCTAGCATTGATTTTCTCAACTCTAATAAACATATTGCAGGGAGGACACGTCACATTTTATCCCACAATTTATCCTTAAATTTGTATCACATAATAGTATTTTTTTTTAAGACGATAGTGGTGATAGGCGGAAGTGATCAAGTAACGATTCTGTTATAGCCGCTGGTTTCAACTACAGTGCTGGCGTCAGTGCTGGTGTTTGCTGCCTTACCCGAACAAACATTACATCTCTCAACCTGCAACCACGTGCCCCCCCCCCCCACGTGGCCTGTGACCTCGCCAGATGTGGCGGCTGGGGGGGGGGCGGTGTTTACCGCCGGGAGTGTTATCGCCACTGGCGTCAGTGCTGGCGTAAAGTGCTGGCGTTTGCTGTGTTTACGGACAAGATGCCCTGATTCTGCTGAGTGTATGGCTTAGAGGGTGGCGTTGCCGCCTGGCCTCCAGGCAGATCGCCCTCGCCAGTGATGCTGTGAGGACCAGCCCTTTGCTAGCAATGATGAACACCGACTCCCAATCCTGGCAGAGTTTTGTGCTGGAACAATTTACACAGTACTATTTTCCCTTGGAACACCATACTGGTTCTCATTCACCCGCACCTGTAAGTACAGCCAAAGTGATGGCATATTCCTCAGTACTGAAATATTGTGGACTAATTATGCCTACTCGTTCCTGCCTTATCTGGAGCAATAAGACAGCGCGGAATGAAGTGTAACTAAGATTAATAGAGTTATGAACTTTGTATCATATAACTATGTTCAATAATCAATTATAATTAAGATAAATTGTGTGAGACTAACTAATTATGTATCAGATAGATCACCATGTAATACGACTAACTTAAATGTATACTAAGCGAACAGTAGAAGTATGAGAAACAAAATGGATGATATTAGGGCCTTGGTATGTACCGAAGAAATCGATATAATTGCATTCACTGAAACATGGATCAACCTAGACACACGTGAATTACCAGTCTAATACCAAATTGCGGGTTACAAACTGTTCCATACCGATAGGCAGACCAGGAAAGGAAGCGGAGTAGCAATCTATGTTAGGGATAATCTGAAGTGTGAAATAAATAAGGAAATAAAAACTGAGAGTAATACAGAAACAATTTGGATAGAATTAAGCGACGGTCGGGAAAAATTAATCACAGGAGTAATATATAG